AAGTGGTGCCAAAAAACTTTTAAAAACCACATGAAATTTAAACAAAATGGCTACTAATGGTTACATGATTACCCTAGTATTAGCCTATGCGACCGCATAGGTTGTTCAAAGCAGGGCTTGCTTCTATGCGACCATACCTTTATAGGGTCTATACGGTCCCATAGATCACGTGTTTGGCCTGTTTGTGGCTGCTTGTTTCCACTTTCATTCCATACACCTCACTTATTGATTTTGAACAACAATTCTCGTGACTGCCCTCAAAGCAGCCTATTCATCCTCCTGGGTGTTGTCCCTTAGTGGATAAAACCATGTTGAAACATTTGTCACCCCTTTTTTTGCCTCCTTGGTGTTCCTGTATGTACAAATGTAATAATATTTATAATCAATAGTTAAATCTCAAAAGTGTTTATTTATATGTGTGTTTGAAATGAAAACTTGATAATATTTCCTATACATATAAACCGCATGTGCGCGAGCAAGGATCAAATTGTGTGCCACAATATATGGATCAGTGCCCGGATTTCCATTTGAGAAAGTCTGGTGAGGCAATTTTTGTGCCATAGCAACTATTTCTCCGATTGGATCTCTTTTAGAGGAATCAAGTTCTCTGACCGGATCACCTTCTGAAGAAGTAAAGTGAGGATTAGTCATTGGACATATGTGATGAAGGATCGAAGAATGCATCAATTGTTTTATTGAAGTTTCATTTGCTAAAGTTGCACGAGGGGAGAAATTGCCTGTCACATATCCATAATAAATAAAGGCCCATCGCTCAATTTAGTGTGATCCATTGTTTTACTCGATTACCGAATTCCTCAAAGCACATCTTAGCAAACTCACAAAACGCAACGTGAAACAAGTTAATATCAAGATATACGTGTAACGTGCACATGATAAAAATTTTCACATATCATGTTAAATTCTCCCTAGCATAGAACTAGAGAGCAGTAAACAAAAAAGAAAATATTGAAATCATCTCCCTATCATAGAACTAGACAGCAATAAGAAGAAAAGATACTCTCTAGCATAGAATTAGAGAGCGCAAAAAGAAGAAGAGATAAATTCAATGTGAAATCATATTGAAGATTGGAAAATAACCAATGACTTATAAGGTATACAAGTGCTCTATTTATAGACACGGTACAATAGCATTATAGCTGGACTTCAACAGATTTAACTGACTAACTATATTTATTCTAAGTAACCAAACTAACTAACCAACTAACTAACATAACTACATAACAGCTGGAATCAAGATTGGAATCTGGTGAGCTGAACTGGAAGGGATCTACTAATATGTATTGTTTCTGGTTCTATATTGTAAGAGCCCCCCTCAAGAGGGGCATGGATGTTCAAAATGCCCATGTTGCAGATATTGGAATGAAGCATGACAGATGATAGAAACACCATATGGTTCAATTTAGATTCCAGCAGCTAAATATCCAAGAATAGATTTTTCAGAATCACATGGTACTTTCTGGAACACGTCAATGGAAAGACTATACCTCCGCGTGCTATTCTTCAGTTTTTCACAACTAATGACTTTGTTTTCAGTAAACAAAAGGTAAAGCCAAGATCTTAACAGCTTATCCTCAATAAACTAAGATCAGATTTTATCACAGATAAGAAACCAAAAAGGAGTAACAAAGCAGATTTCGAGAGAGAAAATTAGGAATTATATTTCATGATGGGTAAAATATATATGGAAACTATAGATAGAATTATGTAACTTCTAATTTTTCGTGTCATCCTATAACACGAGAATTAATAGAGAAAGCATATTGAAGAGGAAGATCTAAAACATACAAAAGGAATTCAAGAATCAAGAAGAAGAATTCAAGAATCAATAATTAAGAATCAAGATTAAAGATCCGAAAGTCAAGACTCAAAGATTATAATTCAAAATTAATTATTCGAGAGACAAATTAATGGATCGAGGTATGTTTTGCATTAATTATTCTTTTTTGTTGATTTGACATGGAGATCTTGACAATTATGTAAAGTTTATAAAGTTTAATTTTCATAAATATTCAACAAGTGGTTTCATAGCCAATCCATGTTAAACTATTGAGATTAAAGGAAGAGTTTTAATGTTGAAATTCATAATTAGTATATATATATATATATATATGTCGGATAAGTAAAGAAGGAATCAAATGCTATCCCGATCTCATAGATGCACTTTTGGCTATATATATAACATTTAAATTGAGGAAATTGCTTGGCAACGTCATTCGAAGTTTCAAAACTTTTTGTCCTTTGATCTAAAGATATCATTTTTCTCGTCAAAAGTTTTTCTAAATTTATCTCATCCTTTTCCATGAGTTACTATGCAAGATTGTCGAGACTTTCTAGTCCATTTAGACAACTGAGCCCTACTTTTCAGTGAGAACAATAAACTCTACATTGTCAACAATCTCGTCTGCTTTGCCAAGTGAGGATTTTGATAAAAGGCAGTATAGTCATATAAACTTTCAAGAAAAAAGCTCTTTGGCCTAAAAAAATTAGATTACTTGGAAAACTTTGCCTTTCAAATAAAATAATGCACAAACTCTAAATCTTCCACGTTTCAATATTGAAATAAAATATCTATTTTTATATTTTTATTGAAGTAGAATCCAATACTTGGTAAGATTCTGGACCATGAGATTGAAATCTATAAGAATTCAAACCTTCTTCATCAAAGCCACATCTTCCTGCAAAATTATGAGCACAATTAACAATGAAACAGATAATTCTTGGTGTCTTAAATTAGAGCACAGTCAATCATAATGGAAATAATTTTTGTTTCTACCATTTTTTTTTTCAAAATTGAAAATTTTGACTTCAAATGTAACTAAGTATCAACTCTGTTAGGTCTAAGAGTGTAATTAGTGATTTTGGGAATAAAAGGGATGTAATTGAATGTTTGTAAAAGTTAGGGACTCAATTGAACATTGATGTAAAAGTCAGGGCCTTGCATTGCAATTTTGTAAAGTTGGGTAGGCTAGGGTTTACACTTGAGGCTAGGGTAAAGATACACCAAAACTTCGCTGGCCGCTCGCCTGACCAATGCTCGAGCATAAAAAGAAGAGAGCTCGTCACTCGCTCTTCGTCCCCTCATCGCTCGAGCGATAATGTTTTGCCAGTAATTCTAAGTCTAATTTTTCGAGACTTTCACATGGCCCAGGACTCTCATCTATCCCCAGATATAAATACAAAGGTCGTGAACGAAAGGAGGAGATTGCCACATTGTGCCTACATTGCAAAACATCTTCCTACATTCTTTCAAGAGGTCCAAGATTGAATTGATCAAGGAATTCATCTATAATATCTTGTGATTTGGGCAATCTACCATGGGAAAACATCAAAGTTCGTGAAGACAAAACAACGTGTCTTCCTTCATCCGTTGAGGAAGAGACTATCTCATTGGGGATTGAGAGAGGTGGACGTCAAGCACAGTGAATTGGACAAGAATAGGCGATTCTTGAAATTCCATTTTGTGATACAATCAGCTAAGGACTAGAAGGTTATAGTGGATCGTGAGACTGGAGCAGTGGGTTTGATTGGGTACGAAGTTTGGTGTAACTTGTACTTGCTAAATTGGTATAGTAGACATCACTGGCTTGGTCTTGGAGTTTTTTTTTCCACATTGGGTTTCTCTGGCAACAAACTGTGAGTTGTGTTGATTTATTCTTTTACATATTGCAAAACGATAGTTCAATATAGGATTAACATGACTTGTATGTTTAACCATCTAGATTAATTAGTGACTTTTTGCTATTAATTGTATTAATTCTGCACGTAAGGTCGAATTGGTAACTTGGAACGTAAACTGGGTAAAGCATAAAATTTGAATTTAGGATTAGTTCATTTTACAAGTAGTATCCAAAGCGTTCCTAGAACTTTCAAGTGGTATCAGAGCCTAAGCACGAGTCCTGACCTTACATTGTCTAGATGAGTATGTCATTGAGTATGCCGCCCCATTTTGATGGGAATAATTTTGCGTATTAAAAAGTAAGAATGAGGGCATTTTTGAAGCTATCACTACAACAAAAATGTGATTTTGCGACAAGATATTTTGTGATATACGAAAAGTTGTCGTAATAAGTGATTTAGCGCAACACATTTTTTAAGTTTGTCGCAAAGATTGACATGAAAAAAATAAGTAACAAAAAATATAAGGCGACATTAAAAGTTGTTGTGAAATGTGAGAAGGTGCGACAAATAATAAAGATTGTCACCAAAAACTGGAGAGAAGCAAAATGCCAAAAATATTTTTGGTGGGAAATTTATGGCTACAAACTTTTTTTTTTGCAACAAAGTGTGTGTGATGCAATAGAGTCCACTTTTTGCGACAAGGAATATGTGTTGCTAAAATTTCTATAGATAGAGGAAAAAATCGTTACAAGAAAAACTATTTTTTACAACGGACAAAAAATGTATCATTAGGTCTTTCGCAACACTCACTCGTATGTTGTAGGTTCTAATGTTGTCGTAGAGTAGAAAGATATGGCAACATGCAATGCATGTTTCAAAAGGTCTCAAATCACGTTGTTGTTATGTTTTTGCAATGTACCGTGTCATAGCTTTTATTATATTTCGCAATGCTCTTTGCCTATTGCCTTAACTTCTTGCAATGTTCTTTTATTTTTTTGTAACAAATGTTTATTTTTCATCTAGTTAAAGATGACATTTTAATATGTACTACAATTTTTTTTTTAAATTTTAATTATTTTTGACCAAGAGAAAAATTATTTAATAAAAATTTTGTAAACTGTCAAGAATAACTTTATCTTCAACCAAAAAAAAAAAAAAAAGTTCATTAGACAATAAAAGTTTCAATCATATAATAACTTATAAAAAGAACTACTATGCTGAACCAATTAAAAAAAAAAAAAATAAGCAGTAAAAATGACCATCTTTTTTTGGTATTAAAAAATTAAAAAATTGTTTTGTTTTTTAATTTTCTATTTTACCCTTCAACCTAATAAAAACACCCACGATTAAACATTATTTTATTCCCAGCCAAATTTCGCAAGGGTTTCTTCCAAGTAAAAATCCCCAAATCCATATCAATTGGCGGCACAGTCCAATAGGCCACCACCACTCTTCTCACGCCTCCATTGCCGTCAACCGCATCCAAAGCGTTTTCTACTTACTGCTTATCTGAGAAATTTTAGTAGGTCGATTTGCATTTTTTTCCCCTTCTAATCTGTTGAGGAGAAACTTAGATTTACAATTTTGGTTTCTTCTTTATTTGGGTTTGATATGTGTATGTTTAATCATACATTTTTCTTGTTGATTTGATGGTTAAGCAATGCACAAATGTGCTTATGAATTTCTTTCGTTTTAATATACGAGAAGGGTGTTAATATTGGGTTTAAGTCCCTGAACGGTTACTTTTGCTCCCTTCTCTCATCATCTTATTTCTATAATACTCTATGCTAGATTAGATTATAGATATGATCTGCTAAACCAATTATTTTTGTGACTTATACGCCAGTTTCTATGTTGCACAAAGACAGAGTTTAACAATGGCTTATTAGATTAGTCAAAACAAATGATACCACAGTTCTTGTTTTACAGTTCGAAGTTTAGTTGGCTGCCTTCCCATTATTGATGTGTTTCATAATTATTTCTGGGTAATGGGTGGTTTTTTTAAAGGACGTGTCGTCACTCTTCATGGATGTTGTTAACTACAGGGAAAAGAAAATTTGGACCTGGAAAAGCTAGTTTATTTACATCTCGTCGTAGTCTGATCTTGTTATACTTGACGTGAACACAACGGTGAAGGTAATATGCACTAAAATGTCAATCTTCTTCAAATTGATACATTTTGAGCATATTCTTACACTTCTAGACTTACAATTTATGTTGAATTATGATATGATTTTCCACCAATTTCTTGCACTCATAGAATATATAGTTTGCAGAAGGTGGTCATCTCAAATGGAAGCCCATTTGAACTTTGCAAGTTTTTTTATTTTCATTAACTTTATATAATCTTCCTAGAATAAGATTGAATTCTGTTGTCCATGAGTTTATTAGTCCTACAAATTGCAAGCAGTTTTCCTATTTGAGTTATTAATTGTTACTTGTACAAGGGAAGTACTTATTCTACGAAAAAAATATGTATACTAAATTTGTATATGGGAAAATATGTATTCTAGAACCGACCTATTATAGTAAATAATGCAGATGTATTTTGTTGGGGGCTAGTTTCATGAGAACCAACTATTTCCACCCTTGTTGCTTTCAGCTTCGTCACAAGATCCTCATTTGTTAAATTCTCTATTGTATTTAGGTTGACTATTAGAATTTGTTTCATGAGTTAATTATTGCACTAAATTGGAAGTGTTCAAAAGAATCTAATTTTTAGAATATCCATTCCAGTAGCTTATTCTTTTGTTTTGGTTAACATTGTTTGTTGTTTTCACTAAAAACTACTAACTAAATATTCTCTTTTGTATGGTCTATGTGAATACAGAGATATACATGCTAGATAGGAGTTGGATGCAACTTTGTAACAAATTAAGTGATCAATATTTAGATGGTGTTAATTCAAGAGGTAGCAAAACAATGTTTGGATGAGAACAACGAGGTTCAGTGTCCATGTCGAAATTGTCAAAATGCATTTATGGTAGAATCTCATTTATATCATCCCAAAGTCTCTGCAAGTTATGAGAGAGATTTTTCATGGGGTGGAACTTGAGAATGATACGGAGGGTGTTGAAAGAAATACATCTAAATTGGATGAAGCAGAAAATGATGATGAGATGATGATATGTTAGAAGACCTATGTGCTGCTAAAGTCATTTGAAGCTGGCCAAACTCGAGAGGGGGAAGCATATGGCAGAAATCATAATTTCTCACATATGATGATGCAACAAACTCTCTGTGTTGTGAAATAAATTTAATTACAAACATCACTTGTTTTATGATAAACTGTATTATAAATTTTGAATATCTTAAAATATATTATGCAACATATCAAATGCATTGTAAATCATATTTCGCTACAAATTTGACTTGTTATTAAATATATATCGCTATGAGCATGTGTTGTTGCAAAATAGAATCGGTAACAAAATTTATACCTTTAAAATAATATTCGCAATAGATATTTTTCTTGGAAAAACTTTATAGTAATAATTGTTGCAACAGACTGGCTTGTCGCCTTTTTAATTTTTAGCGACAAATATGAGTTGCGACGACACTATGATGACAAATATTGTGTTGCTATTTCATACTTTCGCATCAAATAAATAATGTTGTGAGTTTATTAATGCGATGAACCGGTGAAAGTTGTCGCAAAATATATTTTGTGACTCATATAGCGTGATAATGCCTGCAACAAGCGTCTAGTTGTTGCTAAATTTCTTTTGCAACAAAATCTCAATTTTTGCGACTATTTTTTTGTCGCGAAATCGGTTATTTTTTTTTAGTGTATGGATGAGAGGATATGGTTAAGTGTTGTGAATGGTTGGTCTGCCCCTAGTACCACAGTCGATGGTGTTGTCACTCCCACCTCCATAGAAAATTGGTCTAGAGTTGAATTAGATAAATGTAATTGGAATAGTAAAGCCTTGCATGCCCTATTTATGGCTATTTCCCCTGAAGAATTTAGGAAAGTGTCCATGTGCGAGGTAGCAAAGGAAGTTTGAAATATTTTAGAAACCACACATGAAGGAACTCAGGCAGTTAAGAATTCTAAACTGCAGATGCTGGCCACTAGGCTTGAAGAGATAAGAATGAGAGATGATGAGATGTTTGATGTATGCGAGCCTAAATGACAAAGTGAATTCGTCCTTCTATTAAGGGTAGAAAATCCCCGAGTCTAAGAGAGTGAGGAAGATTCTTAGATCCTTACCCGAACGTTTTAGGCCTAAAGACTCTGCAATTGAGGAAAGTAAGGACATAGACACTATCAATGTAGAAGAGCTAGTTGGATCCTTCCAGACCTATGAGCTTACCTTAAACAATCTAGCTAAGGAAAAATCTATAGCCTCGAAATTTGCTCGGAATAACTGGATGGAATCTTCTGATTCACATTCACCCAACAATGAGGAGATCACCTACTAACTAAGAAATTTCAAAAAAAGTTTAGGAAGAAGAAGCTGCAAGAGAAACTGAGAAGTAGCCTCAGTGACTCTAGGAGAAAGTCTAAATCTGTGAGATGCCATAAGCGTGGAGGTTTTGGCCATTTCAAGAGTGAGTACCCTAATGCTAAGATAGTCAAGAAGAAGGCTATGAATGCTACTCTCACTAATGACGAGTGTAGCTCGAACAGTCAGAGTGAGAAATCCACACATGAGAAGAGTGGAAAATATATGGCCTTCATTGCTTGGTTAAGAGTGGATCCGAACAAGGTAGTGAAAGGGATGATGATATAGATGGTAGTGAAGAATCTAGTGATGAGAATGGAAGTGAGAAAGATCTTGAAGAAGCTTATGATAAAATTTATAAGGAAAGTCTCAAGATCATAGCTACTAACCAAGTGCTGAACAAGAAAGTGAAAGAACTTAGGTTAGAGAAAGAATATTTAGAGGCCCAAGTTAGTGATCTCACCAGTAAGAATGATATGTCCTCTAGGAGAGTAAGTGAGCTAACCGATGGAAATAAGACCTTAGCTATTTGGGTCAAGCACCTTGAAAGTGAGCTTGAGTTGTCTAGTTCTCAGATACTTGTCTTTTCTAGCAATTTTGAAAAGCTAGATAATATTTTAGGAATAGGTAAGCCGATGGGTGATAAGGGAGGTCTAGATTTTAATAATAATGCTGCTAGTAATTCACAAACCACTTTTGTTCGTGCTACTGACCAATCTAACACTGTGGTTAGCCCCATAACTAATGTTGTGGAATCTTTAGGACAGAGGTCTACCAAACATCGTAGGATCCATCAACATAGGAATAGAACTCAGCGTCACCATAACCATAGTGCTAGGTTCATCCCTACTTACTTTCACTGTGGAGAGTTAGGTCACATACGCCCTAGATGTCATCAGTACTTGAACAAAAATAGGAACATGAACTTAAATGAGAACAAAAATTAGGTGTCTGTTGGTCAGATTGGATTCCTTACTGAGCTAGTGAATTGTTTGACCAAGTTGGTGACACAACTGTCGGGGAACTGCTCTCTCGCGAGATAGGTTTGGGTGAAAAGGAGTGATCTACAGAATCTGGAAGTGGATCATGATGCTCTTAAAAAAAATAACACTTATATATCTAGATAATTAGGTATATGTGATGCATGCTTGCTCTTAATTGACAAACGAGTGTTGCATGCATCACATGATTTTTGCTTATTTTTGTCTAATCTTTTTATTTTATGCATGTGCATTTTCATTTTTTTGCTTTGACACATGCATATTTAGTTTAATCTTTGTGTGCTTGTCTTTATTTTCTTTTGTGTGTGGAGCATTCATTTTAGGAAAAATGAAAAATACAAAAAAAAAAAAATTGAAAAAGATAAAAACGGTCAGTTATGAAAATTGCTATAGCCTCTCCTCCCGAGCCTCAATTCAATCCTATTGAATTGAGTAAGGCTCGTACACCCACTGGGGCTGTCTATCCATGTAGGGCAGAATAATCTTGTGCGCGAACCCAACAAGGTATGGATACAGATAGCGGTTCATGAGGTCCGCGTGTGCCTCGCTGAAGATTTTGATCTTCGAAGTTATGACCTGATTTCTTATGTAAACCATAAGGAGAGAGTGACAGGTGCTTGGCCTGATGGTTGATGACCAACCTTCTCGTGACCTTGCTCGATTTTCGCGTCTATAGAGGTGCCCTTATGTTATTGTCTTTCGATCATTCGGTTTAGTTCTTCATCGAACCTATGATTTCAGGGATTGCTCCACTCCGATTGTGTTACTGATTCCGTTGTCGAAGAACAATCAGACATATAATTCTGAACTTGCTAGTTGTAATCATGTATGAGCTAAAATTGATAAGATGTAGAGTAATTTTCATTTCTTGGTTAGGTCTATTTTGATTAATTTGTATAAGTATCTTCATATACCGTCTGTACTTTACACACTATGAACTTTTTAGTGGGACTCTCCCGCGAGTGTGAGATTTGGGATGGTTGTCACGTGTTAATGGGGTGACTTCAAACATGAATTGACCATTTTTTTGTAGACATTAACGTAAAAAATTTCTCCCATTTTATATTAGCTCATATCTTAATGTCCTTCTTTGAGGCCTACTTGACTCAAGCAATTAAGTCTACGGGGTCTCTTAAAACCTAGTATCTATCGTCAACTGACTTAGATTAATCAATCTAAAGCTCGCTACGGGGTCATCTCAGTCGTCTAATGGAGGAGATAAATGAGCCCGGAATAAAATGTGAAAATATGATGAGCTGAAAAATGTGAAAATGAAAAAAATAAATGCTCATAGTAAGGGGGAGAAAAAAAATAAGTATAGGTTCTACTGCACGTCACATGATTTGACTTTCATAAGTAGATGAATATACTTATTG